TTGTAAACTGAAAGAGGGGAGATTTAGATTAGAAGTTAGGAGGAAATTCTCTGCTCAGAGGGTGGTGAGGCACTGGAACAGGTTACCCTGAGAGGCTGTGGATACCCCATCCCTGGAGGTGTTCAAGTTTAGGTTGTACGAGACCCTGGGCAACCTGATCTAGCGGGTGGCATCCCTGCCTATGGCAGGGGGGTTGGAACTGTGTGATCTTCAAGGTCTGTTCCAACCCGAGCCATTCTGTGACTCTGTGATTCTGAGCCTTGTTACTAGATGAGGGACAGACTGTAAGCACCGCTGACTCAGGTATGTCCAAGCAAAACAACTTGTGATCATCCCTGTCATCTCTATTAACATTGTGTGCCCTCACCAGGAAGCCTGTAACACATCAGAGATCCTGAGCATCATGCAATTTGTGCATGACTAATGTTTTATGTAATCTTTAATACTGGGTTATGTTGTATGATTTCTGCTGTCTGGCTGATGCTGATATGTTGATGATCTCCAATGGCTGCAGAGTCAGCAGGTAATGACAGAGAGGAATACAGGTAAATCCTAATGAAGCCACAGCCTGAGACATACTTAGGGAATCTGTAGCTGGGATACTCAGTCTGCAGAAATCATTCTGGCAAGGGCTGAGTTTTAGGTTATTTAGGTCACTTCAGCATGTACAAATCAGTGCCCTTTTTAGAATAATTTTACAAAGGAGAAATCCTCTCCCCCTTTTCCTCTCCTAGAGATGTGAATGTACCCTGAATCACCATGGGCAGCTACTGCTGATACTAAGTAGCCTTCATCACAAGCTAAGAGGCCTCATGCATAGCTGTAAATTAAATGTGCTAGGGAAATTACACATGATCCTGAAAATTGAGGCCAACCAGCACAAAATGACCGCTGCTATTCTCACAAAGTCTCTAGATAGCTCTCCTAAACAGGGGATACAAGCAAACCACCTGCTGGAGGAAGGAAAGGCCCCCAAACTTCCTAACTCCCAAATCATGCCCTAAAATAATTTTAGGCAATATTAAGCATGGGACAAAAATATGGAGGGAAATATGCTAGTATAAGCATATCCTAAGAGTTTTGTAGCCTTAGGATTTAGTGTCTAAGAAAATAACCTTTGTGGCTTATCACAAATGACTTCACCAACAGATCTGGACTGCATTACTATTACTGTGAGTCAGGAATTGATGACTGAGTGCACAGTTTTTATAGCATTTTTGTTTCTGGGGGATGATCACTTCTACATAAATTTTGGAGACTTTATTACTAGGCATTCCAATCTTAAAAGCATTCTGGAAAGCACTGCTTGATTTATGCAGTCTTAATCATAGATTTATGCCAGAATTCATAGCTATTACCTGGGAGCCTGAGAAGAAAGTTAAAAAATTTAATGCACAGCTGGAATGTGGGGCATTTATCCTACTAAAATAAGAGGTGGATTCTAAGCTAAATTTCATCTAAGCTAAATTTAATCTCCATAAAAGTGCAGGTGGTATTATGTGAAAATTAAAAGAATGGCTACCAATTAAATGAAAAGAAGCAATTTAGTAGGTGAGCAGTTGGACTTTGATAGACGTTCAAGTTAGTGACCATTTTACAGTTTTATGATCTTATTGCCCATTAAATCTACAGTCACTCTCAATTTGTTAAATCATAGTTAGGAAAAGCACTTATGAGTCTGATTATTTTAAATTCAGCTCATCAGATAATAATTTTCAGCTATAGCTGTCTGCCAGTTTCCTCCAGGGACAGACTAAGAGAAGTGAAACAACAACAACAACAACAAAACAACAGATGTATATACCACAAAGCTTTGAAGGTCTTCCGGAGTAATGTTAAAGACTTTCACAACAGACAATGAACTTTTCAGCCAGCTCGTTGGCAAGACTCAACATCCATTATGTATGGAAGCCAATTTGTGCCAAGTAGACAATGAAACTCAAGATAGAAGCTACAAAGGATTTATTCCTGGATTTGATGACAGCTACATCTACCAGCTATCAAGCAAATTTAGATTTAGGGATGGATGTGACTCTGCAGCTTGCACCGAAGTTATACCAGATTCTCTGTAGTGCCATCTGGTGACAGCTGGCTGCATGGATATTTGAAACTGGGCTATTAAATATTCATATAGCATTTCAAGATGAGTCTGAGAAACATTTTTAGATAGTACTATTGTTTAAAAAAAGATGAAGAGTGGAAAAAAAATAAATGAGAGAGATTATTGATTATATTGGAAGTTGGACAAATGGTTTGTGTACTTCATGAAAAACAGATTTGCAGGGAAAAGAACTTAGTAATATTTTGTTTAATTGCATACAAAGACCTATCTTAAAATAGACTCATTAAACTTGCCCAAGCAAGTACACTAAGAGAAGGAAGTATCAGGTTCATGATGCTCAAAACTGCTATTAATATGTTAACACTGCATAAGGTCTGCACAACAAAGGCTGGGACAGAATCCAACTCCTTTGATCAACATTCATTTGTCTTGATCTCTAAACTTTTGAACTACCTTTTCCCTTTGTTGTTTTCAGCATCGTTCACTGAATTCATTGGAAGTCTGGCAAGGCTTTAAACACCCTCTCCTACAATATTCTTGTATCTGGGTTAGGTTGCTATAGATGTAAGAACTAACAAATTGGGGAGCAGCTTTGATGGAAAAGATCTGGAGGTCCTGGTGTACAGCAAGCTTAGCATGAGCCAGCTGCATGGCCTGACAGCAATGAAGGTCAGGAGCATCCTGGACATCACTAACACAAGCACAGATCAAGAGAAGTGACTACTCAGCTTTATACAGAACTCGTTAGAGCACACCTAGAGTACTACTGCACACAGGCTTGGACAGTGAGTACAAGGGATGTTTACAAACCAGAGCAGGTCAAACAGAAGACTGCTCAGAGGGTGGCCTTCTTCCCCCAAATATCCCTGCGTGGTATCATGTTGTTATGACGCTGTGGGCATTAACAGACTTTAATGGCTCTGATCAGCCTCTCTTGGGGCCCTCGACCACATGCTGGAGCACTCCCCCCCAGAGCACTGAGATTTCATTTAAATTTAGCCCCAGGCATTTGGCTCTTAGGAGTGCTGGTCTCTAGCTGGACCTGGCCAGATGTGGCTGTATCTGGCTGACCAGACCTCACTGATTCTCTCCTGTGAGCTGACCAGGCTTGATCTTGGACCTGCCTGCTCCTCATGGATTGGTGAAGCGTCCTGGACTTGGGGCTGTCCTTCCTAACTCCCGCAACCCCACCTGCCCTGCTCCCTGCCTGGGGGTGGTGGGATGGCAGGCAAGGTCCCCGTTAGCCCTAGGATTGGCCCTTGACTGCCTGGCTCCTTTGGAGGCACTGGCACTTAGGTGACAGCTGTCTTTCCTTGTGCTCTGGCACCTGCCTACTCTTAACTACATTTTGAGGTGGCCAGTCCTTCACATTCACTTAAAAAGGGTTAAATGTAGGTGCCTAACTTGGTATTATGGGGACAAGACACCTAAGCTCGTCACACGGTAACAAATGCGTATAGGGTTCACAGTTCTCCGAGGTATTATAGGGAGGGTTAAGATAATAATGCTGCCACATCTTGCTGGAACTGAGACAGAATAATAATATCAGATACTGATACTTACAAAGGCTTATTTGTCCAATCTGTAGAGAAGGTGCCAATAGAAATCTTGGAACATATATTTTATTTCCATTTTATAGTCTTATGCAATAAGTAAACTCACCACAATGCAACAAGACCAGTCTTCCCATGTTCAATGTCTTCAAGGCTGGGCATGTTGCACTTATAAATTATATAAAAAGAGACTCAGATAGAATTAACAGAACGAGTCTTTCAATGTGCTGCCTTGATTACCTAAAACGATTGTAATAAATCAGATCAAAACAATGTTTCCTGTTGTTGAGAAATATTATTTTTTTTTTAGCTAAGCACTAACACTGTCTAAATATTTAATATAAAATGCTCAAGCAATTCCTGTAATTCATATTTAACAGTAAGTGAGGAATGCTGATAAGCTACAGACATTTTATTCTCTGCACTTACATTAACAATTTTACTGTGGTTCCTACTAAAATTGTATCAATATTATCCTAGAATGCCTACCAAAGCAGAAAGAAAGTTTGTGTTTTCTAACATGCACTATCATTACATACTGTACAGATAAAACTGAGATAAAGTTAATATTTATGAAAAAAAGCAAACTCTGTTTTCATAAAAATGTCCTTTAAAATATATTCTGCAGACTTTTATATTTAAATAATGAGGTTGAAGCAAGTCAGAGGCTTGTCTTATACTCCTTTGGATTCTAGAGGGCACAATTGATTTGCTGTAACTGATTAGACAAGGGCAAAAAAAGTGAAAACCACTAATCAATTTGTTACAGCTTTACCTGCAGGTGTTCCAAGCTGGAGGATGGATATCTGCCTGGTTTTCATTTGGTGTATATTGCTGCAAGCTGTGGAATTCACAGTGTTGGGTGTTGGATGTGCTCCCACTCCACTGATGTTGATATACATTGGCTGCAGTATCCAGGGTATCAGTACCTTGCAGGGAAGGCTTCCCACTATGTGGAATAATGATAGCTGTTGCATAAAACTCGTTTGCAAATCCTACCGATGGTTTCAGTGTGATTTACTGACCAAAGGACTCATAAAAAAGCGTGTGTGTACTCACTCATCCTTAAAAGATTGCGTAGGCCTGCCAGGGACTAACCATAGAAAAGTGGTATGGTCTGCTAAAGACTCATCACCTGTCCAATAACAAAACATGTTAGATACCCCAGGAAGCACCAGCTGAATTTCCAGAGCTAGGAGCTGACCAACTGGCTATAGTTTTAATAATAGCGTGTACCTGTAGAAAAAAAATGCATTAAAACCTGAGAAACTTATTGATTTTTTCTCTTTCTTTTTCTCTGTCTTTCATTTTAGAGATTTTCTGGAAAAAAAAAAAATATATATATATACATATATATATATATATATATAATAAAGTCTTGTGTCTCTCCCTAAAAGTTTCTAAGTAAATAATGATGAAATTGACTTTTCTTCTTTTCTTCCTTGGGAACCCTGGAATTGTCTCTTCCATGCTTCTCCTGCTGCGTGCCTTGCTATGATGATGTGGTGTCTCTCCAGGTACTCTTCCTAAAAGGTACTGAAAGATGTTGCCAGGCAAGATATGAAAAGAACACAGGAACTTAATAAGATATTTCTGAGATCAGAGTATCAATAACACTTTAGCTCTTTCTTTGACCTGCATCTAGACAGCAAACCCAAAATTTTAAAATACAAGGCAATTTGTACCACACCCAGAAAAATAAACCAAACCAAACCAAAACGAAACAGGCAAACAACAACAACAAAAACAACTGAGAAGTACATAAATAGGAAACTGAGGAAAAAGGTTTACACAGGTTTTAATATTAATTTTATCCTTGACATGACTCAGGTTAAAACAAAAGTAAAGCAACTTAATTCCAAACAGGTGGAATAACAACTTGGTTGCTAGGTCTAGGGAGAGATCTGGAGGAAGAGTTGCATTTATTGTTACAGTAACTCCGAGGAACATCGCTCTTCAACATTCACCTCTGAAGACGTCAAGTCACTCAACCTGCCGAGTTGCTGTGGATACGTCCTAAATGCTTCTGCTTAAAGAAAAGACACAGAAGAGATGTGTAATCTTATAAACTCTCCCTGCTTTTCCCTGCCTGCCTTCCTGTGTATTTTCAAGGTAATCAAGATGTTGAACTTTATCTTTTCCTATAGAATTACCTTCATCTGCTGCTTTCATTTTAGAAAGACCACTGCCCTTCATCATAGTAGGCATAATCATAACCTGTTCAGATGGATTAAATCATCTTACTCTGCAATAAAAATGTTGGTGTCTTAAAGCAAAAGCTCAACTTGTGGTTCATGAATCAACAAGTCCTATTTTAAAGATTTTGTTTGTTTGTTTGCAGGTTTTTATTTAAGCTCATCTGTTTTGTTCACAATGTAATCCTACCCTCATTTGTGTCAGCATGACCTAGGGCAGTAGCATATTGCAGCACAGGAAAAAGAACGTGCATTGTGAGAGCGAGGCAGGAATACATTAAAATGGAGTTTTAATTCAAGTATGTTTGTTTGTTTGTTTGTTTTTTTAAACACAATGACAACTGTTTCATCCATTTATAGAGCTGTACACACAGTGGGGCATTTATAGTAGTTCAGCATGTGTGTTACACTACACCACTCTCTTCAGAGTAGACATGGCAGTGACCAAATACACTGAAAAAGAGGGATTTCCTAACTGTAGCATGGAAGGCTAGAAAGACTTCATCAAGGAGGTAATCTCAGGCTGCCACTTTAGGAACTGAACTCTCTGGAGGCAGTAATAAGCCGAGGTGTTGCTGCACTCATCCCCCTTCCCTGACTGCTCAATCCTAGGCTTGTGTGGCTGAGTGTGCTGGACTGACTAGTTGTATGGCTGGGCAGTTAACCAGACAGAAGCACACACCTAGTTTAGAAAAGCATGGCAATACCTATAAAAATGTATATATGTACAGTCTGTTTAGAAGTGATATCAGGACTATTTTTTTAAGCTGGGTCGTTTCCCTTATCTGCCTCACAGAACAGCTGCATACATGTTCTGTGGGCAGAAGTGAGGGGACAAGCGTGCTGAAGACTGAGAGGAATATGTGGTGGTAAAAGTGCTGGTAGAGGATGCAATACTGACCTAAGGTATTGTACCCAGAGACTTCATACCATGAGTGTACAGTCTGAGAGGAAACATCAACAGAAACCTCAGTGTGCTCAGGCCAGGAAGTTTCTGCACTGTGTGAATCATAAATACTCACAGTGTTTCAGTCCAGGTTAACTAAGCAGCAAGATAAAAATTCCAGGACTTTCGAGGAGAGACACTGAGTTGAGACAGTATTATTTTTCTGCAAGTTCAGGAGTAATAACTACCTCTTCAGTCACCAACTGAAGGGAAACTAGAAACAATTTTTCAGAGCAGATTGCACAATATTTTTTTTCAGGAGCAGAATGTTACAGAGTAGCAATGATTGCTCCATAGAGCTAGAGGTGGGAAAACAGAAACTAAAAACAGTGTATCTGCAAAACCACCTGATGTATATGATAAAACTGGGGCTTGTCCCACTAGGAATGGGGGCCCAGTGTTCGCAATGACTTGACATAAGCCCTGTAAATAATTTTGAAATTGGTCTAAGGGGGTATAGAAGCGTATCCATAAGGCTTCTGAGAGCTTTTGCCCCCTCCCTTATCACTAGTTGGTGCAGTACATCATTTAGATTCCAGATTTAGACTACAGCTGTGTCTGTTCCAGGAGCTGAGCAGCACATCTGTGAGCACCTTTTAGGTTGCAGCCTATGACTCTAATTAATGATAACAGCAGTAAATTTATCAGGAATTTAAAAAGCCTTAGGAAAGCAGAGGTTTGAATGCTCGTCCTTAGCTACAGGTTATGTCTGGCTCTCCGTTATATGCATGTTTTCTATTCAGGCACTAGCAAGAATCACTAGCTCCTTTTAAGAGTGAACCATACCTTCAGTTCTCTCAGATCGCTGGTAATCTTCCTTTATGACTTCTGGGTTCCTTCAGGTCTTTGAAATTAGACAGAACTTTCTCGCTTTTATTGTTCTGGTGTGGCTAAGGCTCCAAGAGTGACTTCCCTCTAAGAAGTTCTGTTGCAGAGTCCATCTTGCACACAACTGAAAAATAAATTGTACGTTTTCAATGTACATGTGCCTGCCTACATGTACATTATGTACATATATACAGAAATATATCATATTTATGTACAAATATATGGAAATTTGTCTCATACATACATATACATGACAAATATTTCCTTCTGCTAATCCCACCATCTTCTATTTGGCCACCATGCCCTTAGAGAGGCAATTATTCAAAGTAATATATGAATGGTTAGAAAAGTAATAGTAGGTACTAGGATTTAGTAATGCATATTTGCACCATAGCTTATGATTGGGAAAACCCTGTCGGGTTATTCTAAGGAAATCTCCAGGCTCTTAAAGCACAAAATGTGTGGTTTTAAATAGCACAGTGTAGACTTGAAAAGGGTCTGAAGGCAGCACTAGTCAGATCGTGGTGTTGTCATAGCAACAGACATTGAAATTCAAAATATGAAGTACAAAATGGGGGTGGGAGAAAAAGAAGGGTAGAGAACAGAAAAATATCAAGTAATCATGAAAATCTTTTAAAAGAATATTAAAATTAAACTTTAATGACCAACGGTGGAAATAATTAAAATATGCTTATTCTGCATGCTATTGTTGGCATTTGTTTACCTTTTCCATGCAACAATTTGAAAATGCTTTATAAATATTAACAATCTTGCCTTCTAACATCCCTCAAGGAAAGTATTAAAGTTACTATTTATAGATAGAAACACTGAGGCAGAGAGAGAGAGAGAGAGAGAGAGAGCTTTGCTCAAGTTGAATGTCTAAGGCAGAGGTGAAAAGAAAAAGTTCAGCTGGTTGCTCTGCTCTGCACTCACATGCTCTTCATTTTATTGCTTTAGCATGCCTGGGTTTTATGATGTTATTCTGTAGATATGTAATAGAAGAACCAGAGTAATTTTTGTGCCTTCTAATAACAGTGGTAGTAACTGTATCTGACGCAAAAGCTCTGGTGCTTTTACACTTTCGTTTGCTTAGTTATTTAAATCCCTCTACTGCATTTTGCTATAAGAATAGTGACAGTGAATAAGGAAAGAATGAGTAAAATGGTAATTTTTTTTTTTTTTTTTTTTTTTTTTTTTTTTTTAGCTTTGTAAGATGTACAACTGTTCAGAAAAAGATACTCATTCATGCCTAATTCATCAAGGAACTGCAGTAAATCTAACTCAACAGGAAAGAATTAATATGACCTTTTGGGGGATCAAGGAATCTTATTGTTGGTCAAAAGCCTGAGATTACTGGGGATTTTTTTCTTAACTTATTATTTTTATCCCTCACAGGCATCTCTTTGCAATATTTTATTCTGAGGATACCTCTGTAACAGCTCCCCTGTATTACTGACTTGTGTATAATAGAATTCTTAAGTATATCCAGGAGATGTTTTTTGATGTTGAATTTTGCAATCACTTCCTCTTTACTTTAGCATTTTGGAGGAGTGATAATGAGGATCTTTCCCCCCTCTCTCTTTCCTACATTTACATTTCCCTTCCAGGCATGTAATTTAATTTAAAGTTGCTATCATTCTTGAAGTAATATAATGCTATGGTATCCATCCCCTAAGAATAACTTTAAGGTTTTTCAACATGAATATCAGCAGTATAAGGCAGATAACTTGCATGTTGCATTCAGGAATTTTAGGCAATGAGCCATAAACAAAGAAATTAGATAAAGGTAAAAAAGAAGCATTCAAAATTATGAAAATGTGCTGACTGAACTATAGACTGGCAATGTACCAGAAGATCTGCAGCAAACAGAAGAACAAAAAGAAAAAGAGTCCTGAAACCTGGAGCTTGACAGAGTAGGACAAGACTTCCACCATTTAAGAAGTAAATCCCCTGGGATTTCCAGCGTCACAGTCACTGAAAATTATCTGGTAGTTAGGAAGCTAGCAAACATAAAAGCATGAGTTCACAGAACACGAGTCATGCAAGAGGCGAAGACAGACCCAGGATACTAAACTGAATTATTCGTGCACCGAGCCTGTCTGAATTTAAGAAGAGATTGGACTGTGCACTTAGTCACATGGTCTGAACTTTTGGGTAGACCTGTGCGGTGTCAAGAGTTGGACTTGATGATCCTTAAGGGTCCCTTCCAACTCAGGATATTCTATGATTCTATGATTCTATGATTCTATGTATTTTTCCTGGACAGCTGTTATTGTTTCATCCAGTTTGGCAGTGAAGTGCTCTGTCTGGTGGGTGTTGAGGTGCAGCACCACAGGCCGCGTATGTCCAGGTTTTCACCGAGCTCCTCAGGTGCTGTCTGCATTTTGCAACTGGGTCTGAAGCCGTACTTCACCGCTGCCATTGTCCATACTGGCAGGTTTGAGGTATTCATGCTAATCAGTTTTGGTTTAGCATGAAAGCAGAGGTTTAACTTGTGTGGGAGCAAAGGGGAGAGGCTGGAAGACAGTATGTTTGAGAGATGTTCTGAAGCAAGAGCTTTTTCATTTCCCTAACACTTACTTGCAGGAATCAGCTCCTCTGCTTCCAGTGGGCCCTGGATCAGGCCAGGCAGGAGTAGAGCAGAGGAGATCATGGATGGGGCTGAATGGAGGAATGGCTGCAGAACCAGAAGACTAGGGTGGGGAAGACAGAAGAGGTATAGAAGAATAGTATCCTGGTAGGAATAAAGTTGTTAACTTTGGCTTTTAATTGCAAGTGCTAATATACTTCTAATGCTTTCACACTTAATTATTGCTTGCAATTTCTAAATAAAATTAGCAATTTGAATTTCAAACTAGCTTGCGTATGTCTGTACTATACTGCTGAGACTGTAGTAAAGCCCTACCCCCTTTTTTTCTCATATTTATTTAATAAACGTATGAAAGGTTTGAAAATTAAAACTTACTACAAAAAGGAACAAAGAATCCATTCTTCCTCAAAAGCCAAGCTAGTTCCGTGAGTTTTCAAAATTTCAAGCAGAAAACTAAAAGAGACCTTTCCTTTCCTTTCCTTTCCTTTCCTTTCCTTTCCTTTCCTTTCCTTTCCTTTCCTTTCCTTTCCTTTCCTTTCCTTTCCTTTCCTTTCCTTTCCTTTCCTTTCCTTTCCTTTCCTTTCCTTTCCTTTCCTTTCCTTTCCTTTCCTTTCCTTTCCTTTCCTTTCCTTTCCTTTCCTTTCCTTTCCTTTCCTTTTGTATGAATACAGCTGAAAGCAGGCTGAATAAGGCTCTTTATCTGTCATAAAAACCTGTTGTTGATGACCTATTATATTAAATTGAGTATTATCATCTAAATTAATATTTTCTACCCAAATATTAAATTGTTGAAAAGCATCCAAAGGTAAAATGCATCTTAAAAACAAACAAACAAGCAAGCAAAAACAATAACAACAACAAAACACTTTTTACTGCAAATTAAATAGCTTTTGCCTTTCTTCTCTGTGTTGTACCTAGTCTTACACAAACTGGCTTCTAAAAGCAGGTAGGTCTCAATATTACAATGAGCTGCATATGGATGAGCTTTCATCCATATGCAAGGAATTTTCTCACATGGTAGGTAAATAAAGGAAAACATTCGTATAGGATGTTTTGGAAGAAAAAAGTGTAAATGGCGTATGCAGAGATAGAAAAGTAAATGTAGCATAGTTTCACTAATGGGTTTTTTACATGGTGGTCTAAAAATTAATTCAAGGTCAAGAAGCCCTCTTTGGGGTATGGTTGCTCTGCCTGTGTCCTGTTTTTCAGATTGTCCTACATACCAGCTGCTGGCTACCACTTGGAAAAGGATTTGTTTGTAACTAATCTAACCTGTTATGGTGGTTCCTCTGTAAGTATTGTATTATCAGACTTTGTTACTACTACTTAATTAAATTGAATTTGTTTGCTTTAAAAACAATCTGATAAAAAAAGACAATGTACAACACTTCAACATTCATGAAGTTTCCCCAGACCTCTTAAGCTAGTATCACAGTAATGGCTTTTTTCTCTCTCTCTCTTTTTTTTTTTTTCTTTTTTTTATTCTTTTTTAGTGCTTGTTTGCTCTTGCTTGTTACCTGTTCCTGATGCTAATCTCTCCTGGTGACAAAGCACCAGGAGATCTGTCTGCCCATAAACTGCAATGCCCACGAGCTCTTTCCCCAGTATTTCAGTCGCATGCATTTCTTTCAGCCTCTCACTTCTGTGATCAGCGATCAAAGCAGAGAAATTACACAAATGCATTAAACCTGGTGTGGAATATAGCTTAGTGCTGTAAGTATGCAGACACCCCCCTCCAGCCACTTAGGCTTGAATTTTATACTTTTCTATTTTCCAGCGACTTTTGAAGGAACACTTGAAGGAACTTTTGAAGATATTTTTTTTGAGGGAACTTTTGAAGGAACTTTTCGAAGGAACTTTTGACATAACTTTTGAATACTGGGTGGTAAATGTAAACTTGGTTACTAAAAACAAGCCCTAAACTTGTTTTCTGGGGACGTTTGGGAAGGCCGGGAGCGATGGCGGAGATGTGAGAGTGCTTGGTGGAAACATGGAGAAGCTCGGCTGGGCGCACAGGGGTCGTGTATTTTTATTTTTATTTTTATTTTTATTTTTATTTTTATTTTTATTTTTATTTTATTTTTATTTTTATTTTTATTTTTAGTTACTTTTATTGTTACTTTTGTTTTTGCTCAGCCGGGACCGCTTCCCTTGCGCCCCGCGCCCCACCCGGGGCGGCGCCTGGCGTGGCAGGGCCGGGCCGCGGCGGCCCTGGAGCGTCTCCAGGGCAACTCCCGCGCCGCGTGGGGGCAACGCGCCCCGCCCTTCACCCCACCCCTTCACCCCTCTCAGCCAATCACCGCTCCCCTCTCATCCGAGGGGCGGCGGCGGCGTGGCGTCTCCCTCCCTCTGATTGGCCGCCCACCTCCGCGCGTCAGCGGCGGGCGGGGAGCACCGGGGAGCCACCGAGCGGCCGGGCGCTGATTGGCCGGCGCGCGTCACGTGGCGCTGGAGGGGCCGTGACGCCCGCCGCGGCGGAGGGGCTCGGCTTGTCAGGTAGGTGCGGGCCGTGCGCGCCGCCGACCGGGCGCGTGCCCGCCAGGCCCGGCACCGGCAGCGGGGCCGCGCCTGAAGGGAAGGGAAGGGAAGGGACGGGAGGGGAGGGGGGGGGCGGGAGCGCGCGCGGGCGGGGGGGGGGGGCGCGGCGGTTGCCGTGCGGGGGGGGCGCCGCGGCCGCGCCGCCGCCCTTAGGCCCGGCGCCGGCTTCACCTGCGGGCGGGGCGGCGGCGGCGGCGCCATCCGGGACCCCCCCCCCTCCCCTTAACGGCCGCTGCGCTGAGGCGGCTCCGCCCCGGCCCGGCCCGGCCCGAGGGAGGGCAGCGCCCGGCGGGGGGAGCGGCGGCGGCGGCGGCTTCCTGGTGCTGAGGGCCGGGAGTGGGGCTCCGGGGGGCTGGAAGGGGCGTGAGGGGGGTGCGGTGCGGTGCGGTGCGGTGCGGTGCGGTGCTCCTCTCACCATCATCGCATCCGTTTGGAGCCCCGGTCTCGGTAGCTGCCAGTAATTAAAACAGTTAATGAGTGGCTGCCTGATTGTTCGTAACGCGCTGTGCGTTTGTCTGTGTGGTGCTCACGCCTTGCTCTGAGAGCTGCCCCTTCGCGAGGGCTCGCAGCCTCGGTGCCTCCCTGTGCCGTGCTACGCCTTAGGAAGCCACTTCTTTAACAGGAAGAGCTGAGGCATTAAGAAATTAAGCCTGGCCGTCAAAATAAATTACCAGAATTAAGAGCTAATGAGAAATCAATTACCTCCGAAGGAGGAGCAGCGTGTGAAAAGTTTGGGAATTGTTCAGCGTGACGTAACGACTCCCCAGCAGAAGCAGAAATGGGATCCAGAGTGGCACCAAAGTGCATTAATCACCAGTCCTTTGTTCCCTGAATTGCCTGTTTAGAAACTGGGAGACGCAGAATTGCAGCAATGGGTGTGATGGATTTGTGAAGATGAGCCCCTCTGACAGAACGCTGAATCATCCCCGGAGCACTCCATCCTCTGTAATAAATGAGTCAGGCCTTTATGGAGAACAGCACTGTGGAAGTAATTACACGATCACATAATGCATATTCCAAAGAGGGTGGCATTTAGGTTTTCATCCTCAATTTGTGAATCTCGTAATTTCGGTACTTGATTTGTCAGCTTTGCTTCTTTTCTCCAGCTCTGTTTATGCACAACTTTTTGCTTTAGAAAAAACAGAAAATCTTATTCCATACATTAACAGCGTATTGAAACATACATGGCTCGTCATCATATTTACAGCGTTTGCTGTTTGAGCTGAGAATGGCAATAGGAAGTAGTTTTCCTCTGCACAATACGGACCATACTGGGATGAGTATTAAGAATGTTACTTTTATGAGTATTTAATAAAGGCAGGAATACTTTTATTACATGTTTGGTGCTGTAATACCCAGGTGATAGTGGTTCAGCTGCTGGTGGTGTTAGCTGATGAGTAAATGACAGGATTTACCCATGGTGAACCAATGAAAATATTAGAGTATGGTCTCAGCATAAACCTGCTAAGTCTTTGAACACTTAAAGCTTGTCTTGCTGTGCAATTTTATATGTTTATTTATTTATTTATTATTTTTTTTTATAATGTAGTTAGTGTAGTATATTGCCACCGAGTCTGTCAAAATACAGTTTTGGTGTATATTTTTTTCTTTTATTTTTGTTTTCCAAAGGAGTGTCAGACTTCCTAGTAACGCATTCTGCTTTGAAATGTTTGAGTAGTGCAAGAGAGTGCCCTGCAGTACCTGTGTCACAAGCAAGTTTCAGGAGTTACAGATAAAGGGAAAACAGTGAAATAAGGTGGCAAAGTTTTAAAAATATGACAGCTTGGATAATTATACCAAACACAGTGAATAAAGGTATTTAAAAACCAGTGTCCTATCCCTTCAGCAGACTGTTGTGGGAAATGCGTTTGTAGCCAATTTTAAAGAAAATCACTCAGCTTTGGAGCTCCCTACTACTAATGAGAATATACAAAGTGTGGAAGCAGGAGAACACACACTTGCTTTTTTTTTTTTTTGCTTTGTATTTCTTGTATGTTGAGACTGAGAATGGTGTGTTTTCTATGAAGAAGATTATCTTTTCCACCGTTTCTGTACTGTGTTTGTTTATCAGTTCAGAAGATGTGATAACTCAAGTTCAGCAGATAAAAGGAAGTGCTCAATTTGCTAAATACACAGAAACATTGACAGTTGGAACGTGCAACAAGAAAGCAAAGAATTATAAAGAGTTAAAGGGCCGTAACGAAGATGCAGAAAGGCCTTTTAATACCCGGATCTGCCTTTTGGACTAGGTCAGTGTTGAAACTGGAGTGGGAAATCCCCCATCAGTGAAAGTGTTCGATAAATCTGAAGCTGCTGGATTAACAAATTTAGTTGGCATCCAGATAATATCATTTATCCAAATTATTATTATTATGATTATTGTTAGTGTGAGGAGGTAATTATATCCTTATTCGGGTCAAAAATCTCAGCTTTATTCGATCCTCACCTTCCTCTTGGTTCTGCATGCATCCTAACTTTGCTTTGGTTTGTGTTCTGGAAGCAGCTGGTACCCCCTGAGAGGAAACCTGCCCACGGCTGGTGGGATTGTTTGCTGCAGGCTCTGCTCCATGCAGTACGGGTGCACACTGCAGCAGACTCGTGTCCCGTCCACAGCAGTCTTCCAGAAGTATCCCTGTGTGCATGTGTCCTCCAGCGTAAGGCTTCCTGTTTACACACAGCCCGTGGTGTCGTGCTGATGGGCTGTAAGCGGCCGATCTCCTGCGTCCCAGTGCTCCCTCAGAGTCCCTCCGGGCGGGAGATGTGAGCAGGCTGAAGGCGAGAGAACGTCTTAATCAGTTGATCTGGGTTGTGTCTGCAGCATGGTCCATGCAGGCGTTACAGATTAGGCTGTTTCCAAAGCAGAGGTGAAGCAGATGGTTGCTAACATTCATCTTTACGGCAGGCTGGCTCGTGTCCTGCTACGTAGTTTGTCTCAGATGAAGTTGGGATTTCAGTTTTGAAGATGCAGTTAGTCAAGTTCCCCTAGAGTGTCCCAGAGCAGAGGAAGGCAAAAATTTGGGAGGAATTTAAATAACTTGCATACAGCACAGACATTCCTATCTCCACACTTTTTTTTTTTTTTTCTTCTGAAAATCTCCATGAATGGTGCTATGTCCTGAAGAACACTGGCCTCATAAATGAAAAAATAGCTGCTTGGTATCATTTCTGATAAGAATACTTTTGAGATGCAGAATGACAGACCGGAGTAACAAAAACATAGAACCAAACCAGGCTCAGTTACTCCAAATCTTGTGTATGCAGATCTATTTCCATGTGAAGAGTTCATGTTTTTTTTTTTTTTCTTTTTTCCTCCTGTGCACTTCAGCATTATTGTTCCAGACACCTAGGAGGTTAAACATCCACAACTTGTTGCTGTTTAACATCCATTAATTATGGCTTGGCTCATTTATACATTTTTCAAATGAGAGTAATACTTTTCAGAGGGAACATGGTTTATAACTGGGAAGTCTGATGATATCCAAACAAAACTGACTGGTCTGAAAAGATAGGACGGGCTTTTTTGTGTATCTGGAGGAGTTATATTTGTTACGTATTTTTAGATGGCATAAATTAAAATTTGTTACAGATCTGAATTTGCAGTGCAATAACATGGAGAAGTTTCAGGTGCCTGGTTCAACCATCTGTCTTTTGGGTGACTGCCTCTGTAGTGAGAATAACTTTTTCCTATCTAAAAGGAAGAGAGGTCAGGGTGAACATATTTTAGGATGTGGAACATGTGAGGGAAAAGCCATCAGACGAGGCACAGCAAATAAAAACTTGGGGCAACACCTTTAACTCCAGCACGCTCTGTTTTATTTCCTGCAGTGTACCTGTCTGGAGTGTCAGCTGTCAGGAGGGAACTGATGTTCCTCATGGGCTGGCTTTCTGTGTGGAATACCATGGGATCGAGCTACTTTAAATGTGAAATAACGGTGCCAAGGAAATAAGTGACCTCAAGAAGACTGAGCGAACTATGAATTAACTAGGCAGAGAGTTTAATGAACCAGAAGGATGTAATTAGTTTAATGAAGGAGGAAAGAAGCAGCAACAACCTGATCATTTTATTTTATTTTTTTCAAAGAGTGATAAATACTTGGAACTAGACTGTTTTTCTCCTGAGGAGACCAGTACTGCCATTTATTACAGACTAATGGTAATTCAAAACAATTTAATCCAATTGTTCTGGCTGCAGGGAGAAATTCTGGATGATGTTGGGCCATAGGAAAAAATAATGCACTTGGGGCATAACAACCCCATGCAGCAGTACAGGCTCGGGCAAGAGCGTCTGGAAAGCTGCCCAGCAGAAAAGGACCTGGGGGTGCTGGCCGACAGCCAGCTGAACACGAGCCAGCTGTGTGTCCAGGTGGCCAAGAAGGCCAATGGCATCCTGGCCTACATCACAAATTGTGTGGCCAGTGGGACTAGGGAAGGGTTTAGTCCCCTGTAGCTCGAGTGCTGTGTTCAGTTTTGGGCCCCTCACTACAAGAAGCACATCGAGGTGCCGGAGGGTGTGTAGAGGAGACCTACAAAGCTGGTGAAGGGACTAGAGAACAAGATGCATGAGGAACAGCTGAGGGAACCGGGGTTGCTTAGTCTGGAGAAGAGGAGGCTGAGCAGAGGTGACCCCGTTGCTCTCTACAGCTGCCTGAAAGGAGGTTGCAGCACGGAGGGAGCTGGTCTCCCCTCGGGTGACAGGAGGTAGGGCACGGGGCAACAACACTCAAGTTGCAGCAGGGGAGGTTTATGTCGGACATTAGGAAGTATTTCTTCGCAGTGCGTGGTGGGTCAAACACAGGAAAGGGCTGCTCAGGGGAGTGGTGAAGCCCTCATTCCCAGAGGTATTTAAGAGATGTATGGATGTGGCACTAGGGGACTGGGTTTAGTGATGGGACTCGGTAGGTCAGGTTGGTGGTTGGGCTTGAGTGTAAAGGTATTTTACAACCTAGATGACTCTGTAATTCTGTGCTTCTGTAATTCTAGCTAAATGAATATCAAGAAATGAAATGTTACCTGCAATTCCCTTCCAGCTAATGAAGATGACATCCCAATAGCATGAAAGAAATCAGTGAAGGAATACATAACTGTGTAGACCAAACCGTTAATAAACAGCTATGTTTAATTCTAACGGTGACTCATGCTGCCACTTTCCTACCAATTGTTTCCACGTTCGCTACTCATTAAAGACAAGTGTCTTGAAAATGTAATACTTTAACTTGTCTTCTGTTGTTCTAGCTTGTTCAGAAAATTATTTTTATACACTATATACAATTTAGAATGAGTGTGAGTCACTAACTAACATTTTCATGGTTTTTAGTTTGGGGTCAATTATTTTAAGTTTCTTAAGTTTCTCTGTAAAACGATTCCATCCTTTAAAAGATGGAAGTGTTATAACATTGGAGCAGTAAGAGTACTTCAGAAGACTCTGAAAGACATGAGAAGTTAATAATAAAAATAAAAGACAAGTGGATTAGTTATTTTTAGCCTGGTACTTCTCTGTTACCTGTTAGACCACGCCAGGCAGTGCTGTGGTTCATGATGCTAATATATCCATGTGAAGATAGGAGATTTGGGTTGGTGTTTTTCTGTGCTGGTGTTCAAATCTCTTTCCTGCTAGAGCAGAATTAATTTTTGAGTATGTAGGATATGTCCCATGTGCAGGATGTATGTGAGGCTGTGTATGCACACAGAAAGAGCTGAGAGAGCCTCGTCCTTAGTTTGGGTTAATATGGTTAGAAAAATGCGACAGCTTTAATTAAGCATTTTGTTCTTCCAGCCTCTGAAATACATGAGAATAAGAGTCTGTACCGAGGGTCTAGAATCACTCCTCAAAAGCTATGGAAACTCCCTGTTGCAATTTTAGGAATTTCAAAGGAAGACCACAGGAACAGAGTTGTAGAAGGAGAAGTGTTGTAGTATGCTAGAATTTGTATGAGGGTTGGAGAAGCCTCATCCTGCTCGGTCTGTTTCTGTTAACATCTAGCGTGGAGGTCGTCGTTGCAGTGCTGCAGAATTGTGAGTGCAGTGCAAGCCCTTCGCTCGGGTCCTCTCGCTGAAGCTGTGCTTTTCTTTGTTGTTCTTGCAGCCTGGAGCTTCATGCAAAGGAAGTTTAATTCCTGGAAAAACACAGGAAGAAGCCTTCCTTTACTCGTAAGCTTGTAGAAGGCAGCAAGAAACTAGATACAAATCCTCTTTGTGAATGAAGTGTGGGGTCGGCACCTTGTTTTGTAGGTGGCGCTGCGTTTTCCAGAGTTAACAGGAGCACCACACTGAGTCCTGAGGCGCAGTGGCAAGGCACGATGTGTGGCAGCCAGCCAAGCCCTGCTCTTCCTAACCTGTAGCTGCCTTCACCTTGTACTCGTCTGCCTGCTGAAATTTGGTCTGAAGCGTCTTTTTGGTCTCAGATGTTCAGGTTGCAAAGGAGAGGTGGAAAGTATCTTTGCTTCTCTCTTCCATGGTCACAGAGAAGGGGAGATAAGTTTTGATTGATGATAAACTTTTTCCCGTGCTAAGAGCAAGGGAATGCTAAATCAGAGAAGACAGAGGCCTCACAAAAATATTTTCTGCCATGGGTAAGTGTCTTTGGTGGTAGGGGAAGGAATTAGATGGTGTTCAATAAGCGGTTGAAGATTGTTAGTAGCTTTCTTCCATCACATCTATTATTGCTGTTTGCATGTTAGAAAAGAATTCCCTCGGGCAAATGAATACTGCATGTGCAAAGAAGGGTGTTTTACAGCTGTAATCGGAGAGGGTCCAAGATCTTCTTCCTGGGCCTTTACCTGGTTTATTTTTACCTTTTTATTTTTTTGTGTCATTGAAAAGTGTAAATCCCGAATGGAGCCTGCTGCTTCTTATATCCACGTTCTTTCAATAAGATCAGAGCTGGAAGAGCTGGTAGGGCAAACCATGGTTTCCGTACATCCGCAGGACAGTGTGAGTGTCCTCAGTGTGTGAGGTTGGCTGTACGCAATCGAGTGAAATGTATCTAGCTTGGTGCTTGCTGCTGTTAGATAAGGAGGAACTGTTGCCACAGTAGTTGTTCCTCTGACCTATCTGTCCTGCTTGTGCATTTAAGAGATGTCTTGAGATAGAAGTTGTGTGTTCAGGAGATTTCTTTTTTCATGATTTTTTAAAATAATTTTTGATTGTGTCTGTTTCTTGGTCTCAAAAATGTCTTTAGGCATTAAGTACTCGCATTTAATTATTTACTAGGTGAAGAAGTATTTAAGAGCAACTTTTTAAAGTTTCATTTGATGTTCCCATGTTCTTCTGGGAAACATTTCAGACATACGACGTGTTGTGCCAGTTTGTGCTATCGTGTTTTTTTAACTTTGATCAGACACCTCATAGTTAATCTGTTTCATGAGCTAAAAACTTCTCTTGACTTCCTTTGTGCAGAAGCTGCTCCGTACTCTGATCAGTGCTGCCTGTATTTTCTAATGCTTGATGTTCTTCATGAGATAATTAGGAGATACAGGAACACCATGAACGTATCAGAAAAATAGGAATATATTCTCTAGTGTTCTCTAACCTTTGTTAAAAATAAAACAAAAACTTCTGACAATCTGAATGATCTAACCTGATCACTTCAGAGCACTGGACGAACATTTCTGAAGACGTGTGCCCAGAGGTGCCCCGACCTTTTTCCCTTGTGGTGTTAAGCCCTCTCCCAGGGAGCTCCCTCCCAGTGTGTTCCCCTGCATTTACTGACATGCACTTTCACCTGCTGTCTGACATGCCCATTGCTCAGCATCCCAGGGTTCCTCTGCCGCTTTCTGTAATAAAGCATCTGTTGCAACTGCAGATAGCGTTGTACCACGTGCAGGTTTAACCAGAGATGTTGTGTGTAATGGTAGATACGCAGGTGACCGGCCTGAACAGCTGCACGAGTCCTGGCTCAGATTCTGCTGATGCTTCTGGCTTCCTCCCCTGTGGAGCCGTGTTTCGGAAACCTCGAGCTCCACTTCTCTAACAGCTTCTGTGAGACACCCAGCTGAAACCTGTAAGAACCCTTCTCTTTGCTCCATGTCCAACGCCTTTATGCACCAGCTGCTCAGTTCCCTCACAGAACACCTCAAACTGGGAAGCGAGACTTTGTGCTATACTCCCTTTTTTTCACCCTATCCCAACTTACAGGTTCTTTATCATGATTTTAACACAGTTCCTGGTGTGGCAGTCAGACTTTGTTGTACTTTTCCTGATTGCCTTGGTAAGCTCTGAAAAAAAAATAATTAATAAAAATGGTGTATTTTCTACTCTCCATTCCTTTCTGCTGTAGTAGTCAGCAGTTACTTTAAGACTAAGTTTTTGTAGAATTAATAGTTTGGTTATTTCCATACTTGATGCTTTAATGCTTCTACAGAATGGTGTCTGTCTCTGGTGAATTCTTAAAATTTGTTATTTTTAAATGCTCCTCTGTGGCTTCATTTGGAGAAAGTGCTTGTATATCCCCAATTTAAAGAGGATCTGGCTTGGTATTGGTTTTAACTGCCTCTGCAATAATTTCAGAAAACGAGAGTTCATCTAGGTTTTCTTCTCTATCCTTATTTTCTTTCAATTCCTTCTTTTGCATCTTTGTTATCTAGTGGTTTGTTGCATTGAGGAAGCAAGCTGCAACTTTCAGGTTCTGCTCTGTTTGAGCCCAGAAGTGGCAAACACAACTTTGTTCTAAAACGTTCCCTTGCTGTTGTACAGCGAGCTCTACGGTTAGTTTACTGACCAAAGCTTTTTATGTTTCCCTGTCCTAGCTGGCATTTCCTGATCAATTAGATGAGCCTTGGAAAGATAATAGTAACTGGAATTATTGGGGGGGGGTGAGGGTGTGTGTGTGGGGAGCCAGTTTGTTGTGTTTTATTTTTATATTGGCAGACAAAAAATCTCCATTCTACCATAGGTGTAATTTTTTTATTATTATTATTATTATTTTTTTTATTATTATTATAACAAGGTGTGCTTTTTGCCTGAGTACAGAGAACGGAAGATACAGCTTACATACAGCTTGTCCGTGTTTCAGTGCCTCTAGTCTGTTGTTTCATTTAGTAAGTGGAATTTTCAGAAAAGGTCATTTTACCACGTGCAGCTCTTGTACAAGTTGACTGCTTAAAATTTTAATGTCTTCAAGTGTTGGGGGTAGCACACATTTTACTTTCATGTGTCCTGTTTGAAAGCAGAAAAAAAAAAAAAAGTTTTTCTGTCCAGTGGTACTCTGACATTTCTAACTGGTTTGTGTCTGTGATGGGAGGAGTGGAGCCAAATGTTGCTATTTCATTTTTGGCTTTTGGTGGTAGTTCTTTTCTGGTGGAGACTTGCTTAGGTAGTTGAATTTTGGGCTTTCCAGTTTTTCACTAATGTTTGCATATGTGTTACTAAAAATGTTTTGAATTCTGTATGATTCTGGTTTGGTCTGTTTTTTCCTCCTTTGTATCTGCCTGCATGGCTGCTGTCTCCTTGCAGTGAGTGAATGTAAGCATCACTTACAGTCTTTGCTATTTTTGGTCATGGAGAGAGAAAGCTTCATATTTATGTTAAGCAGGACTTTGTTTCTAGAATGTCACTAAGTAACCAGAAAGGAATACTAGATAATGCCTGTTTGAATGTGAACTAAAACTACCCTTTGTAAGGCTTAAAAAAATGTGTATGTCCATTATTAATGCTTTGTTTTACACTTAAAAAATAATCTGCAAAATAGTTGGAGAATTTAAGCTTTACGCAGGGTGTTTGTCTTTCAGTTTCTTTTGTCTTTTTTTTTAAAACAGATTTACAACTGTAAATATGTTAAATCAATACCGAATGTCTTGTCTAAAGCTTTTAAAACCTCAAAATTCAACCTTCGCCTAGATTGCAGTCCAGAGTTGCAGGTTGAAATTGGAGTGCTGTAGTCTTTATAGCTCTATGACCTCTTGCTGTTATATGTATTGCAGTAATTAGAGCTATATAACAAATGTTCTTTATCTTGTTTAGTGTCTTTCTCATGTTGCTACTTGTTTTCTTACAGACCAGTGTAAATACTGCTATGAAGTTTGTCTTTCATGTAATGAATTCTGTTTTCCCATGCTTTTGTTTTCTTTATTAATGGATTTTCTTCTAGTTTTATCCAGGGCAAATTTCAGAAATAAATGTATTTATTTAGTTTTCCAAAATAAAAAGAACATCAAAAGAAATTTCTCAGAACTTTTTTTTGGTAAATATAAAATTGTCGGTTACACAAGTATAGAAAAACTACACACATGATTTTGAGACATTAAATAAAGTGATAGCAAACCACTACTTGCAGTCATTTGAGAATTTCTTTTTGTTTTCCTCAACTGTCTTTTTTAAAAATATATTTTCAAGTTAGAAAATGAAAATGTGAAGCAATTTATCTAAATTTATTTTTTGCAATATATTTTACAATGCTGAAATAAAAAATGCGTTTTTTTGTTTGTTTTTCTTTCACAGAACTCCCGGAAAGTGAAAGTATATTCCTGAAAGTGAAAATCAGAAGAAGTAGCTGCTGAGTTATAGAGAAGTAATACTAAGGATCGTTTGTTGGGGATACTTTTTAAGGTAGGTGAGCTATGCTTTGCTGAAATGTAATCCTAAAAATAAGCTGCTTATTTTGCCTTGGGTAGAATAATATTTCAGACCAATTTTGAAATGATCAGGCTACGTTTATGCTTCTGCTTTGGATGTTTATTGGTGACAGTGGCTGTATGGAAGCATTAGTTCATCTCTTGACTCTGTTCCATACATTTAGCATCAAATGCATGCAAAGATAGTATTCTGGTTAAGTGGGTAGTGTAATCAAACAGTGGGTAAAGCATATATTTTATGTTTTGTGATGATGTATGTTCTGCGAGTAGATTGTACACTAGGAGAAATTCAATGTTACAATTTTTATTTAGGGTGTGGAGGGAGGGCTAAGTGATTTATTTCCTAGTTCTGATGGATAATAACTACTGTAAGCCTGAGGTTCAGAAATGGAGGTGGACTATGTAACAAATTGATCGTCTCATGAAGTTGCTTTATCAGTATGGAAACTTTGAATTTGAGTATTTGTTTCTCCTGAAACAAAGCCCTCATCTCTTTTTGTGTTTTTTTTTTTTTTTTTTTCAGTATTTTTAATGTTTCTAGAAAAGGCCTTTGAAATAATTGCCTTGCTAAACAATTTGAAGTCCACATACACTTAGGAGCTGATAGCAGGTCAAGAGTGACCCATTGCATATTCCTTCTTCTGGAGGGGTCAGATGTGTGCTGTGCTTCCTTGCTCTGAATTTAGCTGGGGGCCTGATGTGTTTGTTTTGTGGCTTATCAGTTTCCTGCCTATTGTGGCCTTGAAAGTTCATCATCATTCATACTGTAAAACCACAAGAACAGCATATATATATAACAGTATTTCCCAGGATGCCCTCACACCCCTAACAATTTGTGTCTTCTCTAATATATTGCTGTGGTCAGCCTCTTCTCACAGATAACCAGTGATAGGACTAGAGGGAATGGCCTCAGGTTGTGCCAGGGGAGGTTCAGGTTGGCAGTGAGGAGACATTTCTTCTCAGAAGGAGCAGCCAGGCACTGGAACGGGTTGCCCAGGGAGGTGGTGGAGTCACCGTCCCTGGGGGTGTTCAAGGAGGGGTTGGATGTGGTGCTTGGGGACAGGGTTTAGTGGGTGACATTGATGGTAGGAGATGGTTGGACCAGATGATCTTGGAGGGCTTTTCCAACCCTAATGATTCTGTGATTCTATGAAATACACAGAAGAATGTGATTGCTAATTGTAGAGTAATGATATTGGATGCATCTTGTTTGATGGATGATGTGGATTTCCCTCCTTGTTTGCTTTTGGTCATTGTCAGGCAGATGGTACCTCTGATCTGATTCACTGTGTCCATTCCTGTCCATTCCTCTGTTGGGGGTAGATTGTAATCTTTAAGTGCAGAGTGGCTGTGAAAACCACTTTCTTCAGTTCTGGAATCCAGGAAGACTACTAATGCCAGAGTATCGGCTTTATTTGCTGAGTGGAGTGATGCAGTACTGAAGAATTAAGTGGCTGTCATTGAAGTTTTCAACTGTGAGTCTGACAAATTTTAACATCGTTGTTTTAGAACCTGACCACATTGCTGTGGTGGTGGGTGAGACAAGTCACAAGCTGTCTTCGGTAAATGCAGTAAAATTTAGAGCTGTTCGAGGAGTGGTTGCTCATCTTGCGTTTTTAAATGTGCATGGAGAGCTTCATACCTCTCAATGTTTATTTTTTTTATGAATGATGATAAAAAGAAAATGTCTTGTTTCCTTGGAATTGGCTCTGGCATGTATTATAACTACTAAAACTTACCAAATGTTGATTGGCTGATTTCTATACCCACTAATTTTAAAGGTATGTATGTAGACCATCTCAAAATGCTCAGCATTGGAGGAGGAGGAAGTACCTTTGTGTGTCACGCTCCCTGTATCTCCTACTGGTTCCACAGTAACTTTTTCCTGAATTTACATTTTTCATTTCACTACTCAGTTTTGCCTCTAGTCAGTGCTTGCAGAATCGGGGTGAGAATCTACCTCTCTCTCAGTGCTAGCATTGTAGTGCTGTATGGCAATGCAAACGAAAATGGGACTGCCAGTGCTTGTTGCCTAATCCAGTGACCGTGGACGTGGGGAAGGACGAGGAGGAACAGGCCAGAGGAGGCAGCTGTGCTTGCTCCCCATCCTCGAACAGCACCTTTGGGTGCTGTGGGGGAGACAGGGCGCTGGTCCTGATGCTTCTTGGGTGACCCTGTGGGGCAGCTGGCTGTGTATGCCAAGGGGGCAACACCAGGCCTGGAAAAGTGCCTGTTCATATGGATGCCAGATCTGTTTCTTTGAACATTGGCCTTTGGAAATGCGCTTGTGCTTTTTGAGAGCATTCAAAATACGGATTACGTAGAGCACATTTGATAATGTGTTTGGTAATTCATACAGTTCTGACTTCAAGTAAGTGGCCATGTAATCAGTACTGGTTTCAGTTGTTTTCTGTGTATAATTAAAAATGATGATTTTTAGCTTCTTGACTATTAAGGAGGTTAGATCTCGGATACTTGCTCACAACTTCTTTGCTTCCATAATATTGGAGTGCCTGAGATTAGCTGAATTTTTTGATGGGACACTTTCTAAATTTTCAAGGAAGAGACATGGAGGCTGAGCTGAGAATCATGGGCTCTGAAACTTTGCTCTTGCTCATCTTACCAAATCAGAATTTTATCACCTTTGTAAAACAAACTTTTTCTGTGGTGCATCTATTGTGGTGAAGGGAATAACTGAAACCGAAGATCAGTGTCCAGTATACATACAGGTTTTGTCTATTTACTACAGGTTTTGTCTATTTACTCAGGCATCAACTAGAGTAGTCTGAAAAAATCAAATTATTACTTAGTGAAGGGTGAATTAGCAGGCTGCAGTGAAATGTTAGCGGATCATCTGCTCAGTTCAGTTTTGTGATCTTCTGGCTCCATAGTGAGTCACTAGAAGCAGACTGAAATATCATATGCTGAGAATATTTTACCCTTCCCTTGCCCTCCTGCCTTTTATAGCACACGACTTCAACTTGAGATTCAGCTCCCATCTTTTCTGAATGGGATGTAAGAAAATAGAGCTACAGCTTTTCATGTTGATAATGTGCTAGGAGATTTAGTGCATGTGCTAAAATATGCTAGGAGAAAAATGAGGTTGGTCACAGCAGTGGAGGTAGGTCTAAAGAGTGTTGAGAAATCACAGAGGGAAGCACAAGTCGTCAGTAAGTAGATGCTGTAAGATCTTTTCTTTCACTTATCTTACTAAATTATCAGTGTTTTTGTAAGACTATTCTTAAACTTTAACTGTGCAAATGTTAATGCAATTAATAAAGCATAGTTCATCCTTCATAAATAAACCAGTATAAATAATTCAGAATTGCTGTTTGCCTGAGCTCCTAGCCATCAGGCAGCATTCTGGCTGAAGTGTGTGGCTTCAAAGTTACGAGCATATGGAGGCTTGTGGTAGCTTTAAGGTTACTCTCATAACCTTCACGTGCCTGTATTGTCTACATGCATAAAATAACACAATGCTGCTCATCATTTCTTCATGGGATTTTTGTTTCATTACATAACATTGTACCATGGCTTGTACCCTCGTACCTGCATGCATTTCTATGCATAGTGGATGAGGATTTTTTTCTGTAATTTACTGGAAGGGCAGGGAACTGCAGAAAGACAGGAATGGTTTTGGGAGTCAGGCTACCTTGGAGATTGTTGTAGGAGATTGTTGACTTGTAAAATTTTCTGAAACTTTTAGGTAACTGAGATCAATAACATCTTTGTTCTAGATGTTCAGTATGCTGAAATGATAGGCACCCTGAAAGGTCTGTCTTTGAGCTTTGTGAACACCAGGGTTAGTGAGGATAATGTCAACAGTAGTTTCTGTGTCTCGGGTCTCTCTGTATTAGTCCTGCTTCAGCTCTTGGGCTGCTAAGAAGATGACACTATTAATGTTTGTAAAACACTGATAATTTAAGTGGCAGTTTAAAGCCTATGAAGAAATGGGTACCTCTGTGTTCAGGAGAACTATGGCTTGGCTGGAGTGCAGGAACTGGTGAGTAGGTAATGCAAAGGCAGTGTGAGTACAGTAGTCTAGAGCTGTAATTGCAGTTTATGTAAGTTTATCTTACCATATTTTAAGCTGATCAGTGTGGAAACAGGTTTTTGGTATATGCACAGAAAACAGGGTTTGGCCCACGTTACAAAACTGTATACAAGTCTGTGGAAATAAATGTGGTTTCAAATGTTGCATGATGTGGCCGTGTGTATCATGATAGGATGTTTTACAGCTAGCTCAGATATGTGTCTTTGACCTGCAGCTGTGTTACAGGGCTTTATAATGCGGCACTTCTTAATCAGATTATCAAGTGATGATATCAAATAATGATTTCATATTGTGCAATGAGACTGGACTTCTTTAGGGGAAGAATGTGAGAAATAAAGAACTCTACCCTAATATGTTTCTCCCAGGAACAGTGGAAGGTTGCACAGGAACCTGGTTTGGGATATTTTCTGACATTTGGGAGGTGGACTCTGCAACTCTAGTACCTGTTAATGCCATGTTTAGGACGAAACTAGCAGTAATTTTCTAGCTATCCATTTACTCTAGATGCAGTGCCTGAGAACTGATGGTTCATTTGGAGGTTTTTATGTCCTTAGGACAGTATTCACTAGAATCAAGTATTTTGGGTCACCAGGAGTGAAGCAGTGTAATGGCAGTTCTTGTCTGGAGATAGCGTCACGTATATTTGTTTGATTAAATACGTGTGTTGTTTAGTGTGTCTTAGGTGCATCAGTGTGTTCCCTCATAACTCCCCTTTCAGCTGCGGAGGTGCCATTGCGCTGCTGTTTTACAGGTGGGAAACTGGAGGTCACAAACTGAAGTGACGCTGACAGCTCAAAGCGAATCGGATCTCTTTCAGTTCAGCGTGGCGTTTGAGATGGTTCTCTGACCTTTCTGTCTGTCTGTGTCAATGCGGTGTAGGTAGTCCTGTGGCTAAGTTATTTCAGCATTTAGATGTTAAGAGTTGCTCTTTGTAACGTTTAAAAGAATTTCTTCTGTTTGGATCTAATGAACCTTGTTTTACTTACAGATGTGGTGAAGAGCCTATATTTTCACCCGTGCGGTATATAGTGCCTTAAAAATGGGGTTTGGAAGTGACCTGAAGTACTCTCATGATGCTTTATTAAAACTGCAAGACTGGGAACTACGACTGCTGGAAACGGTGAAGAAATTTATGGTCATGCGTGTAAAAAGCGATAAAGAGTATGCCTCCACTTTACAGAATCTCTGTAATCAAGTAGATAAAGAAAGCACTTGCCAATTGGATTATATCAGCAACGTGTCCAAGGTAAGACTGAAGTATTTTGAATTAGTAATATCCTTACATTAAGGAAATAAGAGTTGAACAAGATAAGAAGCTGGATTTCGGTGTGTTTATTTTAGTTTGTGTTGGATTCCTGTTGATTCAGCTGCTTGAGAGTTAATGTTGCCCAAGTGTTTAAAATGAGCTCAGTGTCATTGAGCTGAACTCCAGTCTTGCTTTGAGATTAATAACTAAGCTGGAATCTTGGATTCTGAAGTTTGGTATTTTAGGGCTTTGGGTTGAGGCTGCTAATTTGTTTAGTGTTTTGAAAATACGGAATGTTGTAGTAAGCCTTTCTTTTGAGACAGTTAAATAGGAACTATTGTTTATGCTGTATAGAATTTGTGACAGAAATAGAAAAATACCAGGAAACCAAGGCAAAGCTTAGCATTCCGCCTGTTATTCACACCACAGTATGTGGTGTAAAAACAAAATGTTAATTCAGGATGTTCCTCATAATTGTAAAGTTATTTTGCATCCCATTTATAATTACTGTGTTGACTTTTAGTAAAGGTAAGGCTGTCCTTCCAGCAAACTGTTAATGGTCAGGTTTAGAGCAAGTACAGGGAGGGTACCAATGAAGCAAACTTCCCTGTTTCACCTGCTCATAAGCTTCACTTCTGACTTGGATTCCTTCCTGATGAGAGAAAACAATTCTCTTTTAGTGCCTTATTCAATTTCTGTCCCTTCTGCTGCAGCAGTGGTTACACAGCCCCTTCAGTCTGGCATGAATCCTGATCTTCTACTCTGCAGGAAAACACAATTTTTGGGTCAAGTTAAATTTTAGACAAAGCAGTTTTTTATGCAGTGGGCTTATGGAATTGCTGCTTGAATATCAGCTATGGCATTGCAGCAGGAACATCAGTGCTCCTTGTGCAGCAGTCTAGATTGATACTGGAGTACAGTGGCTGTGTGTGTGATGTGAAAGCTGCACTTCACATAGTGCAGCTATGCAGTGTCTCTAGCTAGAGACAGCTAGACTGCTTCAGCTGCCCCCGAAATAGCGCTGCACAGTGCATATCTATAATTAGTGCTGTTGTTGTCCCCTGCCTCGCACAATAATTCTTGCAATGTAAGTTGCTGAGCTGCATTTGGTTTTCATCTGCGTGTCTTGGTGGTGTGCTTGAAATGCTACTCACCTAGCTACGCTTCTTATACACAGTTGTGACGATTTTGGTAAATTAATGTTAAAGCATTTTTGTTAGACTAATAATGGCAGAAGTCGGGTATTTTCTTCAGGCTTTCTACTGCCATATCCCACAGTTGTTTTTTTTACAGAATTAATGGTATGCTTAGTTGTTCCTGCTATTGCTGCTCCACTGGGATTGTTTTCATGTGCTTGCTAAGCCGTCCTGCGACTCTTCTGGGCAATGAAACAGTGGATTAGGGCTAGAACAGTAAAGAAGTACTGGCACCAGGGTCCTGAGCATTGTGACCCTTATACTTCAGTTGGCCAATTCAGCCTAGCCACTTCAGTGACTTTTAATTTTTTTTTTTTTCCTATGGGAAATGAACTTTTAGAAGCTGAAGGTGTGTCTTAAGACATTTTCTTTGTGTGTTGAACAGAGGCATCTGTGTCACGTTTTGAAGTCATTTTGGATGTTGGCACTTGAGTTATTTTTTCAGGATTATTTTTTGTTCCTTTTATTTTTTCTTTTAAGGAGGTGCTGTTTTTCTCTTAAGCCCCATCCCTGATCTCTGCATGTTTGCATAACAGCAAAAGTATTCATATACCACTGATAGGTCTTTTGTATGGGCTTGCCTTGAAATTGCACTGTCAGCTTGGATTTCAAGGTTATGTGGTGATACGTTGTCACTGGTTTTGGCAGTTAAAATACCTGAATTATTGTTTGGTTATTTTACTCCCACTGTTCTAATACACTTCGCTATTTCATGACACTTCTTGTCTCTGACATTTTACAGAATCTAAATCTGACCCAGATATTATGGGGCATAAATCTACCATCTTACGTCTCCTAAGATTTAAAAGTCTGTAACTATATATTTGATTCTGGGTATTCAAACGTGGTTTCGGAAATAAATTCTGAGCTCTCTAATCTTTTCTGCTTTTTTTTTCCTTTTTTTTTTTCTTTTTTTTTTTTTAAGCATGCAGTAAGAGTGAGCACTTTGAGAGAGCTGTTTGCGTAAATCTGTCCGGTGTTTTTTCCATGCAGAGGCAGTAAACTTCCTGGAAGACGTAGTGGCGGGAACCTCTAACACCAGAAAAGCAGGGTTTTTTTAAGTGCTTCCCATAAGCTTTTTTGTGTGTGTATATGTCTAAAAAATACTGTTAAACCAAACAATATTATATTTTATTGCTTTTGATGGATTGTGTTTTTTTTTTTTTATGTGAAAGGAAATGCTTTGCCTTTTCTGCTGTCCCCACCCAGCTGTGTTTTTGTCCCGTATAAATCTCCATTTCTGAAGCCTTTCCCCAATTATAACTTTTCACCTTAACTTTTGCCATTTAAAATGATAGAAGATAATCATACAATACACAGAAATCCCGTTTAACCAATGCTTTCTCAGTATGGAAAGAGGGATGTAAGGAATGGGAAAATGTGCAAATTATTTTTTCTTTTATTTATTTTTAAATAGACAGGTTTTCACTACGTTTCAGTATTAATTGGGCTTATTTGGTGAATTCTAAACTATGTATTTCGTTAGAGTATCTGTCCTGTTGAAAATCTGCTTTTAATGTGTTTCTCAGGGTTGATTGAAACGATACTTGACTCACCAGTCATAAATCACTCTTAAAGAAAATGCGTGACTCCTGCTACTGTTTGACTTCTGAGAGTGCTGTTACGAACTCTTCCACATGCACTGCTCTGATACAGATGTTTAATGTTGTTTTTATTGTACGAGGCTTTGCAACATGGCTTCTGTTGTCGTTGGGAAAGTGCTCTGTAATGGAGAGATTAGGCGCTTTCCAGATACAACCAGGAAGCTTCAGTCTGCGAGCTTTTACAGCACCACACTTGGAGCAGTTTGAGATAGCTCTGTGCCAGTCGCTGCAATGTTTGTCAGCTAAAGGAAACGTTAAAGATGGGTTAATGTATACAGGAATTAACTTTCATTCTGTTCCCTAAAATCCACTCTGAGTTGCAGCATTGTCATGTAGAGATGGGGATACTTATTTATATAGAGAGATTTATATATGTATATATGAACGTGTACATGTGTTTATGTGTAAGATACAAAGAAATCCCAGAATTACCAAACAAATTAATTTTGTAAGTTGTGAAGATTTAAGGTGGATTATGTTTAGTAAGAGTAGGATAAATGCCAGTGAAACTAGCATAGTGGCTGCCTTCACGAACTGATAATTGTTTTGGAAATGGCCATTCGGAAACTCTAACTGCAGCACAGCAGTCTGTAGTGAACTGTGTCTAATGAATCCAATACTGTTCCTATCTACCAAGTGTGACAGGGTCCTTTAGGGTAACAAATACGTGCAATTGAACTGAACTCTATTTTTTTTTGGTTGATTTCTGCTGTACATTGAAAGTCTTGGTGTTCCTCGTACAGTTCTTAATCAAAATTCAAAGCCAGGGTGTGTTAGGCTGCCCTGAAAACTGACTGACAGAATGGCCAAGGAAGTTATGAAGGTGAGGGTGCAGCAGGCTGTTCAGTTGCTGTGATAGATGAGTGCCTGTGCCTCTTAACCTGTTAGCTCCCTGAGTTGTGCCACTGATGGCCTGGGCTCTGATGCTGGCAGCTGCGTGAAGCAGCTGACAAATGGTGTCCTCTTAAACAGCAGCAACTCAAATGCATATTGCTGTCAGGTGCTTAGACAAGGGCAAAGAAGTTGGATTGAACAGAGTAACTGGGACTAGGAGATGGGAGGACAAATAACACCAGTGCGTGCTTGTTAGTGGTGTTGAGAAGGTAATCTGGGGAAGGCTTTCGTGGGTGTTCAGCATTGCTAGGGCAGTGCTGAAGAGCCACCATGCAGTCCTGTGTTTCTGTCTGTGATGCTTATTTTAGGACTTTATGAGCAAGTTCAAGGCATGGCTTTGGTATAGCAGCAAGGGTTTTATTTTGAAAAATCTCAAGTGAATTTGGGAAGTTTAATTATTTTTTGTACTGAATTGTTTTAAATAATGATGCATCTTTTCCCACAGTTTGCATTCATTGTTTGGTTATTTATAATCCAGAGTATGTGACTGCTTTTCTGTTCTGATTTTTTCTCTTTTCTTTTTTTTTTTTCCAGTCTTGGTTGCTTGTCGTACAACAAACAGAACAGCTGAGCAAAATAATGAAGACACATGCAGAGGATCTTAATTCTGGGCCTTTGCATAGGCTTACAATGATGATCAAAGATAAGCAGCAAGTGAAGAAGAGTTACCTAGGTGTCCATCAACAAATTGAAGCAGAGATGTACAAGGTATTTTATTCAATTGTTCTTTCTAGCCTAATTGTAGTTTTTAAATTTGTTTAAAAAAAATATCTTGAGGATGAATTTTTTTAGTTCTGTTTTCTCTGTTGTAAAAGTGGTGATTTGTGCTACGTAGGCTGTCTAGTTTAAATTTTAGTTATCTCCTTCACGTTTTCGTTCCCTTGCTAGCTGACAAGGCAGAGATGGAAAACTTTATTCTGCATGAATTTATTTAGACAGATAACATCGGAAATGCTGCTGTTCCAGTAGAGGATGATTCTGCATGACACTTTCCTGTGCCACCTCTTTTGTTCTCACTTCACTCTAGAAATCCCTGGGACCAGGATACTGAAAAGTGTTTTTTTTTTGTTTGTTTTTGAGTGGTCCTTACAATCCCCACTGTTTTGAGTGGGGGATGAGATTCTAGTCCTTATTCTAAAATATAAATCACATGTAAACCAAATATTAAGGCTGCAGATGGAGCTCTTTGGGACCTTTTTTTATTACAAATCCCTTGTCTTGCTGATGTTGAAAGCATTGTGTCTAGCCAGTAAAGCTGACAGAAATCAGTTCAATTCAGGTGCTCTGGAGGAAGGTTAGCTGCAAATGTCAAAGAATAAACTGATAGTTTGAAAGGTCTACTGAGAGAAAGGAAAGCACTGCTTCTTCTTTCTTTCATCAGAGACTCAGAGATTTGGAGTAAAATAATTATAATATAACGTATGAGTAATATATTACAAATATCGTGGACTGGTGAGTAAAAGATTGATGAGCTGGTTATAAGAAGAACCTTAAACTACTACTAAACATACATCATGTTAAATACGTTGGCTTTGTTAGGACTGCTTCAATAATCTGCTGGGATCTTGGCATCTTCCTCAGGTATTGGCTGTGAGAAGTACATCCTATTTGATGCATGGTTGGTTTATCTGATCTATTGGCTGGCTTATCTGATCCACTTATGGATTGGTGAATCTGGAAATTGTCAGGATTGAAGATGGAGGGAGAGTGGTGGCATATGTTAGAAATAACAGATGCTAAATTTATATTTATTGGTGTCCCTGCCCCTGGCAGGGGGGTTGGAACTAGATGATCTTTACGGTCCCTTCCAACACAAGCCATTCTATGATTTTATAGAGAATGGAGAAATGGGGAAAGAAAGAAAATGTAAGAAGAAATAAAGTGCAGCAGAAGCAAGACTGGTGGGTGTTCAGGTAGAGTTTTAGGGAGACTTTATAAAACATACTTATTGTGCTATTAAGTTAACTTAATGCAGTTAACAAAATGCAGTTTTTTTGAATAAGACTTTTTTCAGGTCTTTAAGACATTAAGCACTCCCCAAATATTTAATTACAAACCATATTGTTTTTAATCATGGGCTGCATGGCGATGCAAGATGAATAAACTTGCACTGGTTTTGTAATTCCCTCCTTGCCCCACCCCCTCCCCAGCTCCTGCCTTCCTGGTTTTCCCAAGAAGCATTTGAATAACATTTTGGTTAGACTTGATATGTTCCTTCATTGTTAGCTGACATTGTTTATTCAAAGGTTCTGTGTCACTGGAACACTACAGAATGGTTCCCAGAAATCCAAAACAGTTTTTGTTTTTTGTGGTGTTATGTCTGTTTTCGTTATATGTGCTGACAAAATACTTATTATTTCCCAGGGCATTATCCAAAACTTGTAAAGATCCGTGTCTTTGCAGTTCATAATCTTTAGGCAATTTGGCAAGAAAAGAAAAAAATATTTTCCTTCAGGTGAAATACTTATGTATCATACATTCTTATTCTAGAGACCTGCACAATGAGGAATCTTCTTTGGTAAAATTCTTGAGGTCAATGGGACACACGCTTTTTACACAATACAATAAAACCTGTATCTTCATGTTAGTTTCAGTTCCCATTAAGATCCTGTGTGTTTTTTTCTTTCTTTTTGAATTTTGAGGAAAAAAAATTTAGAATGCTGTGCTACTTATTTGGGCAGTTCCTTGATACATATACATTGAGATAAGGATAATCCTTCACCACTTTACCTCTTTGAGAGTTAATTGAAGATGGAGACACTTTGATTTTCTCTGGTGGAAGAACACAGTTTAAGAATCAGCAAAATTCGTTTCACAGTTATTACAAAGGTTTCTTAGTATTAGTGGCCTAATAAAATTTAACTTTTTTTTTTTTGTAAGAGAAGCACATTCATTACCGTGTGTATGTTAGTTGTGTTCACTAGCTAATCCTGTCTTCTTATCTATTGCTTAACACAATTTTATAATACAAGTTTGCCATAAAGTTTCTTTTTCATATCCCATTTCTGTTAATTTAAAATAACGGCAGATGTGAACGATTTACAGCATAAATATGTATAAATATGAGATAAAAATTTGGGACTATTGTACACAAAATTTCTTGCCTTTAAGTTAAACCTGTGCACAGATAGCCCAGGAATAGAAACTATATATAGCATCTTGCTTGCTCTTAAAGGAATTCCATTAAGTCTCCGGATGTTGTTCTTGTGGGTGAGAATAGTAGTGGTGAGAATAGGATTGTCTGGGCCTGATGTAAGGAAGAAAGGGAGAATTGTGAACACCAGTTTTCTTCATGCTAGTTGCATGAGGAGCAGTTTTCCTGCACTCCAGATTTCCTTGTCAACACAGCGAGGGTGCTTCCATTAGATTAAGTTCCTCTTCCATGGTGAGTGTATATTGCTTTGTCACAGTTTTTAATTTTCTTTACCATTTATGCCACCTTTTTGGTATTATAGTGGCTGGTTTGTTATGAGCTTTTGTTATCAAATTGATGATTCGTGAATATTTCTGAATAGTGCACTAATTTTCACACAGTGAATGAAAATTGGGGTTAGGAGAGTCAACATCATTGTAGTTTTCTGAACAAATGTTGTGATCAGTGGAGCTGCTTCTGATGGAAAGAAACTCCCTCAAGTGCTTTGTTCCACAGCACTCTTTTTTTACATTTTCTTTTTATACATTCAAGTCTTATGACAGGTAGATCTGTTCATGCACGGTTGCTGTTTCTAAACTGTTTACATAAAATGCTATATCCAAAAGCTCTTTTGTCTTAGTAGTTGAGACACTAAAATAATTCCTTATTTTGCAGAGAACTTTTTCATCTAGTGTGTTTAATGAGCGTCTTTTTTTTGTGCTTTTCTCCATTTTGATTGAAATAGAATAGTGTTTATAATAAGCTGGATTTCCTTTTAGTTATTAAACTCTACTGCTCTGATCCATGTGGGGGACTCTGTTCCAGGCATCTTGTTTCATTCCATACATTTGTTGACTTTTTAAAAATTTTGTTACCCTGTGGAATAGCCTGTTAAGACTATCTCAAGACAATGGAAAGTGTTAACATACTTATTTTGGAAAGTAAATCCAGTCATAGGATTAGTGAAAGAGAAGTAACATTTTTAATGTTGGGGATAAGTATTCAAATTGCTCTTTATATTTCTGTTTTCTTGAAGGTCACAAAGACAGAACTAGAGAAACTAAAATCTAGCTATAGACAACTAATAAAAGAAGTAAATTCTGCCAAAGAAAAGTATAAAGAAGCTGTGGCTAAAGGTATGTGTCTGACTTGGGTTAATTTAATCTATTTTTTACTTCCTGTTATTTATTGCAAGGTAATGCTTTTATTTTGAGCAACTTAATTGTCACGTGAAAGCTCATTCAGTAAGTAAGCGAAGCTGTCTGTCATCAAGTGTACTTGGAGGTACTCCAAAAGTTATAAAAATAGTGATAATCCTAAAAAAAAATGGTAGCTCTGTCGTCGAGGTCTTCTGTCATTCCTTTAGTGGTTGCATTTGGAATGTAAAATTGCTCATACCAACTGTTAATAGTGATAAACAGCTTGCAACTCCTTCTCATGTACATTGCAGCTGCAGCCTCCTTGCATCCTGTGACCTACTGTGGTTGCTGCAGTGGCATTAGCATCAGTTCCTGACACTTAGTAGAATGGAGCTGAAAGGAAAAGGGGAAAATAATTCATCTGCACACTGAGGTGCCTTAAAGTTTTTTTGGGGGAATGATGTGTCCAAACTGCACAAATTTTGACTGCCATTGAATTATGCTAATGATTGGATCAATGAGAGACTTTGTTATATGATGTATTGGAACATATTAATAATTGGTCTTACCTGCTTTGCTAAGTTTTATTTTTTTAAAGAAAATTAATTGCACGGCAGTGTATAAATATAGGTACAACTTTACCATCAAGGTCCATCTTCACCACTTTGCATGACTGTATAAAATTACGTTAACTTGCCCTATCAGTGCTGAAAGGTTGTTTCTTTCTAAATTTGTCTAAAATTTGGAATGATTGTTGATAAGTGAACATAAAGACAAAACAGCGTGGGTAAGAGAAGTTGTACTTAGCACTTCTTAGCTTCAGCGTATCTTTTTTATTTATGCATGTATTCATTTGAGGATGTAAATACTTTCTCAGTTGTTCTTTTGTAGTTCCCCAGTTGCCTTCTACATGTTACTTTAATGTGGAGATTTATCTCTAAGTAACTCTGTAACTTGGGAGTGTATAGTATGTAACATGGAAAATATAATAGGGTGTTAGGATCCTAGTATGTTCTTTTTATCCCATCTTCCTGTTATAGCTCTGATGCATCTGCATTCCTGATGCATGAAACTTTCCCATTAAAATCAAAGACTGCCTTGGCTGTTCAGCAACTGTAATGTTTTGATGTGGTTATGATTAACTGAATTAATATTTCTTTAGATAGACAACAAACAAAAGCTATTTTTAAGGCACTTACTACTCCAGTGGTTTTCCTTAACCTTCTCTTTTCTGCTCCTCTTTAGTATTTGCGTTTCATTAGTACAGTTCGTGGTTGGTTTAACTTTCAGTACTGTGTTACTGTAGATCTACTTTAACAAACCTCTGACCTTCGGAGAAACGGTGCAGGTTTTTCTTCCAAGAATTGCAGAAGTGTTTAGCCCCTGCTGCACCACAAGCCATCTTCTTTTTTACAAATACCTGTGTGGTTGTGGGAGCGTAGAGGAGCTACTGCGGTTGTCTATCAGTTGCAAGTCAACTGAGCTCTGTCACTGTTGTTAATGGTATTTTTGTGGGTTTCTGCACCCTCAAGTTGTCAAGCTGGCTTGCAGGATGAACAAGTTAGGGAAGTCTTAAAATTGTAACGCTTCATTGCTGCAGGCCTTAGTTGAGTACCTAGTGCTTATTCAAAGTATGTGCTACTAGGAGATATGCCTCTTGTTAACATAAAAACTGGTTTGGTTTTTCAGGCTTCCCAGAATTACTGAAAACAAGGGAAGCAATATTGCATGCAGGAACAGTGGCGGGGTGACTTAGGTATTAGAAATAAGCTGAAAAATGCTTTGTTAAAGAAAACAATGAAAATCTGCGCACCAGCTCTTAGAAGAAAGATGTTCAAAGAGCCAGTCCAGTTCTATTTCTGTACAATGTGATTCTTTGCAGACCCTATTCCTCTGGCAAGCTGAATCTGTGTTATGGCGCCTGGCTCCTCCTGGCTGGAGCACGAGGGGACAGCTGCTCCACAAGAAATACGACTTTGTCTTTGCACCTGGGCTTCTGCATGCTAGATTATTTTTAAGTCCGTTTAGCACCTGTGCATGGAAGTGGTCAACACGAAAACCAAAGCAAGTTACACAATGGGGTGATGTAGGAACTTCTCTATTTTGCAGATAAAACAACTTAGAAATTTGGTGACTTTTTGTAACAGAGAATTTGTCTTCTACCAAGAGAGTAAATTTAATACAGCTGCTACTGAAAGAGGTACAAGTGTGTCTCTAGTTTGGGAAAACAGATGCTTACATGTTTTCTGGTTGAGCTATTAAAAGCAAAATTAATTTTTGAGCTAAACACCTACAACAGAGGATTTAACTGGCAAAGTTAGAGACTATTGGAAGTGATCTTAATCAGTAGCAGTTATTTTATAATAATTTTTCTGCAGCTACAGTGAAGTAAACTTTAGCTACTGTGTGTCCTACTTCCCAGCAGCCAACAGGACAGTTGCAGGGAATCAACATGCCGATTAATGCGGAGTTACAGCTGTCTTCGCTTCCTCCTGAAAACAGCTAGGAGAACCTGTGGGAAGGGTAGTAAGAGTAAGGGTTAAGCACTGAATAATGGTACCAGTTAAGTACTGGTTCTGTTTGTGTTAGGGCAATGGGAAGGCAGCTGCTGGAGAGTTTGGGTAGGGAAGTGGTTCTGTAGTGAGGAACTGGAACTGCATTCTGAAGGGTACGGGAGCTTCATTATGGAGGGGTGTTTGCTCTCCTATCTAGAGAAATGCAGAGGTGGTGGCTGGGGAGTTTTTCTGGGAAACCTGCCTGTTGCAGTGCTTCTGCTTGGTCCCTGCTGGGGAAACAGTGGCACAACTGAGTTGCAGAGGGCACTCCACGAAGTCCTGGCTGCTGCTTGGTGCTGAGACTGGACAGCATTGCCCTGTCAGGACCACTAGTGTCTGCATGCTGTGTCCGTCTGGAGCCACCAGTTCACGCCTGTTCCTTACCCCGTTTAACCATGATTTGGTGTTCCTTTGTGGCCCATGATGACCATGGCAATCACAAATGTAGACTGGTTCGTCATGCTTGGGTGTGGAGTCCCCATCTGTCAGGCAATCTGTTTGGTGCTACTCACGTGGTTGATAGGCAGATTTTGGCTTTTACAGTCCTTTATTCTATGATTTTCTGTGTGTTGAGAGAAAAGCAGACTGATAGGGGTAAAGTCAGTGAGCTGAACTAGTCCAGTGCCTCTCTAATGATGTGTAATTAGGCAACTGGGGAAATGGTTATTCATTCTGATAGCCTCTTCTCGTTTTAGAAGGTACAGGGTAGAGACTTTCTGTAAAAAATAAGAGTGCATATCATGCTCCTTTGCAGAACTGAGGGATTATTTGGAGCAAAGCGCAAAAAAAAAAACCTACTAGATTGTCTTTCTGTTATGAAAGGGACAGCCCTCTGAAATGTTTTGAATGTGTGATACAGAGAAGAAAGATGCGTAAACTTCTTCCAGCAGTGGTTCCAAGTGACGGTCACAGATTGGGCACAATGCTGTGCCTACAGTGCTGCAGTGACATCAGTGATGCTGAGTAACAAGGTACAGAAATACAGCATGGCATGCGGGCTTAGCTGCAGCAGGAAAACACATCAAAACAAAGCTTATGCCAAATGATAAAGACATGGCTTTGCCAAAGAAGAGGTCACAAAGTTCTAAAAAGTTTCATAAATTGGAAACTGTGGAACAGTTGTAGACATTTCTTGTTACAATTTGACTCTTAGTTGATTGGATCACTAATAGTTTCCAAGTAAGGATGTTCTTTCCACAGTTATTTTTATTTCTGCAGAATGGTGCTTCTGTATTAAATTTAGTTCAGCATGTGTTTGTGGAGATTTCCAGTTTTTAATCAAAAAAAGAAATCAAGAATTTAAAGAGTACTTACTATTAAATAGGAAAAAAAAAAGCTTAAGTAAGAAAATGATAACATGAATTAGAAAAAAAAAATGTGATCTTTTCATTACACTTTAAAAAATATGTATGGAAAGCATTAATTCTTAGAATTTAGCGTGTATTTGTAGAGCTGATTTTGGTATATGTGTTAAAATGTGAAATAATGCTTTTATATCAGTTAATTTTTGCAAGTTGGAGTGGAGCCAATTTGGCCTTGGGAGGTTCATTCTGAATTTGAATATAATACCTTTAGGCAGCAAAATTTCTAATTTTCATGTAGATACATCTTGTACAGATGTTTATTGTGTTCTTGTTGCTAGTTAATTACTGACTGAATACAGGAACTAGGTTGTAATGTTCTAATGTGATAGAATGGATCTGAAATAAAGGAAAAATACATTAATTCTTAATGTATAATTTAACTATTTCATTTTATGCTGTTACAGCAGTATAAAATGGAAGTACATATGTGAAATTTCTCTAAATTGGCTTGTGTTCCCTGACAGTGTTGTGATTTAGAGGAGACTAGAAATATTAATATTACACCTAGTACATTGTAAAACATTGCATCTGCTGGAAAAATGCTTTCTGAACCCTGCGACTCTTGTGATTTAATACTTCAGAACTGATGTGACTTCCGTGGTACATATTGAAGTTTCATGACAACGTAAGCTGTAGCTATGATAAATAAGGAAGCTGTTGAAAAAGCTTTCATTAAACCAAATTATTGTCCTGCTACTCTTTGTGGTAGCTGAGTGGTCAGAAAATGCTTTTATTAGGTGGCTGGTGCATTGATTCTGAGATGCCTGTAAAATTATACTGCTACATTTCCTAGCAGCGTGTGTTGCCTTTAGGTTTTGCTGAGGTCAGAGGAACTCTTACTATTTATTTATTTATTTATTTTTGACTGGAAGTCACGTGTTCTGAGATGGAACAAATGCTGCTGTCTGAACTGGCCCGTCTCACTCACAGATGTCAGCAGGCTGGATGGATTTCACATTAATCCTCAGTTGCAAGTGTTACAACTCACAGGCACTACAGTAATGCTTGAAAGGGCTAGGGTTGTTCCTTGCATGTGAAATAAAGCTTCTAGAGAAGGAAACTCTGGGACTTGCAGTGA